GGAGAGCGGAAAACGATTCACTCGCTTCTCGTACGGAATCGCAGACTTTTACATCAGCTTTGTATTCCAGTCATCCACTCAGTCCCTTCTGCGGTGACAGTAGTATCACCACCACAGCTAGAGGAAGCGATTCAATTTCATAGCAGACTGTGAAATAGATCAAGACTCCCCCCATATGCTCGAATAACATGTGCTCCTACCGATAGTCCCACTGGAAGTGCTCTCCTACGATCGGCGGCCTGCAATGGCAAAAAGTGGCAGGAGGGAGTCGTTCGATGGCGCGAATACACTCGAGAGGAGAAGTTTCGATTTAATTTCCCGGGGATCCGGCGCCAGCTCCCGAGACGAGCGCGGTTAGCCCATCACTATCACAAGCACCTCCATTGCGGCCGCGAGCGCTGACGCCGTCGCGAGATTGGAGTGTTCGCTGATTGAGGAGGGGCGCACCGACTTCCCGATTTAGAATTCAGAACGCTATTTTAGAGCTCCGACTCGCCGCCTGCTCCACAGTCCCTCGTGCAACAGCCGAGCGTCTCGAGCAGGAAAGGATATTTCATCGATGGTTGAGAAGCTCCCAACCTGAATCGATCGCATCAGCGCCACCGTAGGCGCGATCACCGGTTTGAAATCCTCTGAGTTCGCTATACCTCATAAGCTTAGTATCGAACTTAGTTTCAGATCTTTTCTCTGAAGTCTCTCAGGATAGTGGTTCCCCGAGAAGGAGGAGCTCCTCGATCGAATCTAGTTTTGTCTAGATCTGGCGATGAGTTGGAGTACCTCGTGAGGAATTTCTCAAGAATCTCGAGCGAGTTCCGGATCATATCAATTATCATCGTCGTCAGAAGTCTCCTTGTCAGTCTCACAAGGTCTTCGAGCATGTAATCGTGGGATAATAATTGATTATATACGATGGGGGGACGTTGCTGCAATTCGTGATGCTAAGGACGATGTCGGCAACTTCTCCTGCTGTCCATACTCTCGATGAGAAAGAAACAGTCGATGAGAGCAGTGGTCCAGCATTCAGGCTCGTTCGGGTCTTCCCCTCAGCGATGCGTGTAGGTGTATTTGCGCTATCTCCCGAGTGAGAACTTGCCTCCGATAAGCTCGAAATAATCATTCCTAAATCTGCTGTGGGGGGAATCGATCACGCCCTTCCACTCATTACCGGGTGTACTATCCTCCACAATTCCGGGTTTCAGTACGTGCTACGACCGCGATAGCAAGGGTTGCTCCAGTCTCTCTCGATCCTGCTTCCTGATCATACAGCACACAGAGCATTGGCAGAAAAGTTTCCGGTGGGTTGCCCGGGACGATGGAGGCGAAAGTGCTCTCATCCGGCGCTTGTGACTGCGCTTGCTAGCATATAGGAGGAGGAGTCGGAGGAGGTGGGAGACACCTCCGTCCTCTTGAACAAGGGGCAACGTAGTCTGTTCGCAGCCTATCTACCGTAGACCCTGGAAGAATAATTCGTCTGATTGTCGGACTAAGTATTTACCGAGATACTCCTGAGAGGTCAAGCCCGCGACCCTTCATCCGCGCCTGAACATAAGGAGCCTCGAGTGACGACACAGAGGACTTGGAATTGGTGTTTCGTCATAAGAGCGGTCGAACTCTCGCATGATCATATTCTCTCTTTGGCATAGGCACGAGGTTTCATCATGGTGTCACCTTCTATCGGATCCTTCGTCAGCATCTCGAGCTTCCAGTGAATATACGCACGAGCGAGGCTGCTATTTCCGGCGATGGAGCATATGACGCGACCGAATCGGATGGAGCAGCTCTTTCTTCGAATTATCTAATCATCGCCCCATCGACTCGGATCGGAGAGGACTCATTCATTGGTCTCGCAGAATTATTGGAGGGGGGGGTATTCTCCCTTGGGACGGACATGCGACCGCGGACTCCGGGAACTCTTGACTGCAGTCAGAATCCTCATGTGTTGTTTTGTGACTCCAACATCAGAGTCTCTTGTTTTTGTACGGCGAGTCTCCGGGGAGCTCCGAGTCTCACGACGCAGAGAATCGTGTCTAGGCCACGATGTCTAGGCCTGCTCGAATCGCTTCTGACTGAGAGTACACATCGATACATAGGCAGTAAGGCACTTTATTCGGCTGGCCTCGGGCGGAAATGCATTTAAAGCTTCTTGCGAGTGAAGATCAACGAGCTCAGTGTTTGCATGGGGAGAAGGCGATGAGAAAGATCGACGCGTGGAATGTCGAGACCGGCGAAAACGGCGGTAAATTTACGTACTCCTGTAGGAGGGTTTATCCTGCTTCGGAGAGTTTTCTCTTCAGAATCCATCGAGCTTGTTTCCGATATTTCCTGAGCACCGACGTGTCACCCGTCGCTCCGCGGGATCATCGACGGAGCCGCAAGAGTGTCATCAGTTGACATATTTACATTTAAGGCGGATCGCGTTCCGCTCAATCGCGGAAGTCTGCTCCATCGTCCGTTCGAGATTGATTGCTTACCACCGGCTTATCTCGGGGGCTTAACCGGATGCGTCGCAGATCGGAGCGTCAGAACGAGGTTTCCAGTCCACCTGGCTCGACGGGCTGCGCTCAGGAACGTCCAGAGCGGTCATCGCGTGGCTACAGCTTGCGCTTGTGGGGAGTAGAGCACAGGGTCGGCGATCGATGCATCTGTGATGAAGTGCCACGTGCCACCCTCCGTCTTATCTAACCCACTGCCACCAAAATTTTTGCGAACTCAATCCCGCTATTCCGATCGTTTTCCCAGAAGACACGGTGCGGTCAAATGCAGATCATTTATTGAAGCAAAATAACATTACTAAGCTATGAACTCGTAACTCCAACAACGGCTTTGGTCGCCGGGCGCATCGCCCCCTGTACCAGCCAAACCTTCTCGTCTGTCCCTCTCCCTCTGATCGCCTTTCTCACAGCAATCCGTCTGTTTCCCTCTGGTCACGGATCGTGACGATCAGTTGTCGAAACGTCTCCCGCAAAACAAAGTCCCGCACTCTTCAATGCCGAATAATAGAGGACGTGCTCCGTGCTCCCACGATCCAACTAATGACGCAGTTAATTTCCACAAGCCGAGCAATTGTTTCCCTATCTCTGCATACGGAAGGCTCTGTTCCGCCTTGGATCGAGGCGAGGATCGCCACAGAAGCGAACGCTTTCTCCGACAGCGCAAAGCAAAGTCAACAAAGTTGAAAAGCAGTACAGGAACGGTCGATACGAAAACTCTCATTCCCAATTCAACTTTTTCTCTGTGTGGGATATATGAATTCCATTTACAGAGGCGGCTCTAGACTACCTTTCTCTCTATGAGTACTGCTCGGTATGAATTCTGAGTATGTACTGAGTAGACGGGTGTATGTATAAGTACCTCTAGTGTTGACAACGGGGGTTTTTACAATCATAGGTAGCCAGGAAGGCATCGGATGCATCAGACCCGGCTCGATTATCGGCCACGAATCGTCGGAAACTCCAGCCAAGGCGAGGAGCGAGGATCCAAAATATCCTTCTCATTGGAGTCAACCGAACAAGCTCGATTGTGTTCCGAAACGGTTATGCTGCCTTATCGAGGAGATCGAAGAGCCTCGACGAGATATTTCGACTGACATGAGTCTGGTTCGAATTCGGCTCATCTCTCTTGCTGTGCATAGAACCTCAAAGTTTGGATGGTCAACCAATCAGCTCGACGAAGTTCTAAGTCTCTAATTCTTTCCCTGGGCTTACTCGGTGAAAATGTTTGACACTCGACGGACAGCACTCTACATGAACTCGGTGTTCGCTGCATCAACACGTTCAGGAGCTTTTCCTTCCTTTCACGTAGCTCAAAATATGATTCTCAACGATGGGGTATACCTCGATATCTACTCGAATACTCGGCTTCTCCGCCATCTCTTGAAAGTTTTTCCAACTTTGGCTAGTTTCGACGCGAGGCCTTGTCTCAGGATTATTTGATAATAATTACATGGCTATCCGTTTGCATGCAGAGTATTGAGAAGGTATTGGACCAGGTGGAGGATTCGAATTATTTATCGATTCGGATAAATTGGTCGTGCAAGTGGAACCGAGGGGGAACGCCCGCTCATGTGAAGGAACCGGAGGGTATTGGGAATTCTCGGTTACCACGAAGGGTGAGTCTCTCTCTCTCTTCCAACATGGGGACCCGGCTGTGTAGCCGGCGGCAGAACAAGGTGGATGATGAAAAGAAGGGCCTTCGTTGGCTTCTTGACCGTAGAGCAGCCACGAGCCCCGGATCATGATATAAATCATGGGATATACCGCGAGGCAACCTTAATACGCCGAATATTCGCGCGATTCCCGTATCCATATTTGTATCACATTGCAGCTAGAGCTTGGCCGTGTTGCATCCTCAAATGCAAGGTTGGCCATATTTGTTTCTCTGAGAGAGGAGAAAGAACAGAAACAACTTCGCTCTCGATTCGGATTCTTGTCATCGTACGTATTCTCAACAGAAGACACTCATTCGTACTGCACTAAATCCGGCAAAATGCAACACACCGTTCCATTCATTAGATCACTTTTAGGCGATTTCATTTGGCATCTGTGCAACCGTCTCTTTGAGGTTGGGCATCGATCGAGTCGCGATTTCCTCGGTATTCGTTCAGCTAGAATTCCGTTCGGAACTGTTCCGGAGATCCCCATCGGATAGGAACGGGCTTCTTCCCGGAAGAGGACTCGACTGTTCTCGGCTCGACTCCTCTTTTTCATATTAGAGAGGAGTGCAACGAAGACATATTCCGAATAGATGCGCAGCTTCAAATGGCTCCGCAGAGCTCGTGAACTTTGAGACGGAGTGCGGGGACGGTGCTTTCGTTTCATTCTCCTCCGAGTTCTTTTTGAGTTCAACTTTTTCTCGGTGTTTGCGCCTCCTTCCTCCAACCCTAGTTTGAGAAGCTCCACGAAAATCCCCGTTGTGTTTTCTGTCGTCTGTTTTTCACCTTTCCGCCTGGTTTTGGCGTAATAACAAGGAGAACTTCACCCGCCATCCTGCGGGAGAGCGGCCTAGGAAACGGTACAATCGTCATTAGTCTTCACTTTGTTCTTTTTACTCGTCCGACGAATCAGCGACCTTGATCTGGGCTTGGACTTAAGCGCCGAACAATTCTGCAGGGCGGACGGTGGTTCCTGCAACGAATAACAAGCTCCGATTCAGTTCGAGAAAGTCTCGGACATGGTCGTTTCAACGAATGCCTTCACCACCGCCGCCGGCGAAACTCGCACTTCGAGGCCGTCCGTAGAGGATTTGAGCCTATGCGCTATATCGGTGGACGGGACAAGCAGCGAATTCTTGCGAGCTCTAAAGATTATTCTGTTCGGGAAGTGTGCATGCAAGCCGCGCTGGAAAAGTCGGGAAGTCGCGGAGCTGTTGGAGTTGTTCCCGTTCGAATGGAGCTCGTTCGCCGGGGAAATGTGGACAGGAGGACTGACGCACCCGCTCGACGACAGCTTTGCATAAGTGAACCCCCAAACTCCGCAGCGAAGTGGCATATCACCGTCGGAAGAGAATGACACGGAATGTTGCTCCTCTGTCAACGTGGCAGCGAGCAGCCCAGCTTCGGGCAAGTTAACTCACCGTGGGAAGCTGCTCTTTGGGGCTGCTGAATCTTTTCGGTAGATGTACCGAGGATCTCCTTCGGAGCTGCGGGGTCGTAGGGACGCTCTCTACCAAGGTCTTGAGCTGAATCCCAGACAGAGGGATAAACGAGCGGAACACCTCCTGCACGTTGTTCCCTGGAATAAGCACACGCGACCTCAGTTGACAGTACATTCAGCTCAATTTCCAATCCTCGATTGCTTACCACGGTCGGAGAACGTTCGGGGGGATCTTCATGATCCGATCCCGAGAGGAGGAAAGGGAGAGAGAGAGCATTAGACTGCTCTCCTCCACTACGCTTGGATACTTCAGGCTCTCGACTCTGCCGGCCGCGCACAACGTGTTCCTTTGCTTGCAAATCGCGGTGATTTTCTCCCCGTCGGAGACAACGGCTCGCGGATTCTTCGGGATCATCGAAGGGTGACACGCCCCGTCGCAGGATAGGGCAGGAAAGGACTTTTGCGGGGACACTGTTATGTTGCTTGTGGCTCTTTCGCCAAGCATCGTCTGATTATTCACTTAGTCAAGGTCGCAAGAATTCCGCAGCAAGAGGACCCGACGGGGGCCGTGCAAACTTCCGCCGGAATCCGGAATTGAACATGTACTTTGTAGCTTCTTGGGAACAACTATTAGCCGTCTAGACGCAAGGTGAATGAATTCGGAGGAGCAACGCGGATAAGGACGACTCCGCAGAAGGCATGGAGCTCCTCCTGTAGGGAGCTCACTTCGTATGACATTTCACGAGGCGTAGTGTCCGACCGCCGACCTTGACCGGCGGCCGGCCTGCGTCGCGGAATCCAAAAACTCTAGACCTCCGCCGCATAGTTCAGAAGGAGGAGAATGCACCAGAACAATTGCGGGTCGAGACCCTCATCCAGAAAGTTCCCCTCGTTACATTTGGGGTCATTTTTAGAGACGTGCGGCGTCCGATTCGCGACGCGGGCCTTCGTAGAATCCCGGGATACTGTCTGGATTCCCGCATACATTTCCTGACTGGAGAATGATCTTCTCTCCCCAGCCGCCGTTCATCGCACTGTTGAGTTCGGACTTCGGCTGGTAGCCAGTCGCCCGAAAATCGCTGACTTATAGCGTCGAGGGGAGAGGAACGTCCGTCGCTAGTCACGTCCGTCTTCCGTGTGTCCGCAACACGGCCTCGTTAAGAGCCTCGATTGGCCGTGAGAGAGGAAAGCGGCGGAAAAACGAGAAACAACTCACCGTCCTTGGCAGAGCACTCCACGAGCTTCGTCTTCAATCGAGGGAGTTCGCAGTACAGCCACTCGCTGACGTCCTGTTTGCTGACTTCGCGACGCAGCTCTGGGGTATCGTTCTTGTTACCACAAACCACAATCGGAAGATCCTGATGGTAGAAGTGAGACGTTTTATTACGCACAATTCGAGCTTTATCCAGTATGTGATTATTATAAGTCTCGGGATTCTCCCGCTTAGCTCCCCGGAGGAAAGATCCGAAAGGGATCCGCGAGCATCGACGTCCGCTCACAGGCCTGCCGGTGGCTTGCGGGCCCCTCCTTCGGCATTCAGATACGCTCTGTTTTCGCACAAAGCCTGTGACTTTATCCTCGGTAACGACTCCCTCCGGGTAAATCCAGAGAGTTCGAGAGGAATTTTGCGAATGAAGCATTTCCATCTCGAGTTGGAGTTTCGCCTCTCCGAATATTTCTCCTCTGGAGGCATGCACCGTACCCATCAATAAGCAACTCGCAGCTTTTTCGCAAGGAGCGTAGCGACGCGCCCTCGCACCTTCCCACAGCTTGCAATGGACGCATTCTAGGCACTCAACGAATTCCGAGAAACGATTCATGAAAAATTAGTGTCCTCGCAACGCGATTCTGCGCCTCTTACTCCTACTTCTTGCCGGACAGGTAATCTTCGCCCTCCGAGGCTTCGGAGTGCGCTGTTCGAAACGCTCTTCGACTAGCGATCGATCAGAGCGAAGTCCATGTCTGTCACGTCATCGCATTATGCATGCCGTAGAGACCAGCCCCGAGACGCGAACTATACGAGACCTGGCAACTTCCCGAGGCTCACGATCCCGTACCTGGTATTCGGGTTTGCCCTCCCGGATTTCTTCGAACGATTGCTTGAGCATATCAAAAGAGTTGGGATCATCGATGGCGTACACCAGCAGGAACGCCTGACCGTTCGCGATCGACAGCCGGCGCATCGCTGGAAACTGATTGTCTCCAGCAGTGTCGAGGAAGTCAACCTGGAACAGGACAGATAGGTATGTAGACGAATCGCTGCATGCCTTGCCCAAAGCTCGGTATCGATCGGATCTATTCTCCATGCTGAATGTTCTCTGATTCGACTCGTGTCGAGACGCATCCCATCACGACGATGCTCGGTACGGGTATCATGCGGGGGAGGGGACGTTTGCCCGCGATTGAACAAACCGAATGTTGGGGGAGGGGGGGAATTATCTTCGCATTTCACGCTTTCTTACCTTCAAAGTGACGCTTTCGAGGTTGAATTCTTTAAAAAACATATCTTCGACCGTCGGTCGATACTTGTCCAGAAATGTGTTGAAGAGGAATTTCCGCAAGAGGCAACTCTTGCCTACCTTCGGCCCACCCAGAATGACCAGCCTCACGCGCTGCTCGTTCTCGTCCAAAGGCATTGCGGGCATCGCCAGGGACTAGAAAAAGACAAATATTTTAAGAGCTTTCCCAGGAGGCGCGGCTCTCACGCTCCCGATCTTGGGGGCTCGGGAAAATGGTTCGAGGATGATCGTTCCTGCTGCTAGAGGGTGTCTCTACCGTGTCTTCGGCCTCATACAGTTTCTGATCAGGCCCTGCAGCCGAAACCACCGAGAAGGAATAGCTCAGGAAGAGGTCGAGTATCCTCCAATCGACATAAGAATGTCAAATATGTGAATTAAGAGAGCGGTGATCCGCATGGGGATCGGGTCTGTGGTCGGAGAATTGGGAGTCTCCGGGACTTCGAGGCGGGAGATTGCTTGGAACTGAAAGATGTGCCAGAATCTGGACTTTTCAGAATGGCGTCAGATGCCATTGCTTCGAGATCGCTGAGGTGCGCCGAAATTGCCGAGCTCGTCAAAAGTCCCTGTCAGTGTCAGGAGTAGAACGCTCATCGGTTTCCGTCGAGGGCTATTCAAGATGAACTACCTTCCATGAAGGTGGTGCATTCGCGAGTCGAGCTCGATAACTAGTTTCAGAGACCATTCTCTGTACCTGAGCCGTAGAAGCACGGGTCGGGTCATCTCTCGGCGTGTTTTCCGCGAACCTCGGTAGCCTTCCCGCAGACTATCATATAGTTAGTATATCGAGCCGATCAGAACGTTCTCAACAAGAATGCGAGATTCCGCTTCTTATATGGTCCCTCTACGCCTACAAGAGCAATAATTGTCTCCGCGATCAACAGCATGGTATTGTTTTCCGACGTTCGTTCTCGCATGAGCGATGAACATCCCTCGATCTCAATCGATGCAGCCGTTGCGACGAATTGAGATAACAGCTCCACATCTTTCGGGGGAGAGAAGGCCGCGTTTCTCTGGGCACCCTGTAAATAATACATGACCGCTCGATTTTCTCATTGATCATCAGCGGATAAAGTTGCTGTCAGATCGGTTAGACCCCGCCGGCTGGAACCGACGAGGGCTATCGGCCCACCCGGAACGCAAGCCTCTCGCCGCGTCCATCTGGGCCGGAGCTCTTCTCGTGAGCAGAGAAATCTCCGCGGATATTGCGATGTCGGCTTCGATACGCTTAACTTTCATTGCTTCCGCGTATAAAACGGGGCGTCCACATTAATGTGGTTGGCGGCTTCGTTCGCCGGATTCCGAAATTCTCGATGCCCTCGTCAAAGTTCGTCTGTGCAGCGACGCATGTCGAGATGAATGCCGACCGTAATGGAGGATCGTTCTGCTTGCTTCCCTCTCGAGTAGCGAAGCTAGGGAAGCGCTCGATGCTTCCCACCTCGGCGAGTCGCTTACGGAATCAAGTCTCGCTTGTTGAATAGCGAGTCTGAGAGATCACCCGGAACCGATCGAGGCCGAAGAGCAACGTAGCGCCGAGTTTTCGGGCTCTCGGAGCTTTCGCTTTCCCTACGCCCATCGTGCAACGTTCCCAGACAGAAATGGTGGCGAGCGGAAGTTTCGAGCGGGCTCGTCAGGCATAGCGATGCCTATTGTAGTTTCGCTTGACGAGGGATTATGCCTCAAGGACCCGCTTCTAATGCGGAAATCGGAATGGGGAGAGCTGAAGAATTCACCTAATGAGGGCGGCGCGAGCTCGTCTGAGCGATCGGGCTTCCAGCCAAGGTTTCGGTCGAACTCCGCCGTAGACGCCATGAGGAGGCATTGGACCCTTCCGAGCCTGCGATGCCCGCGCGCCTGCAACCTAGGTCCACTCCTCGTCAATGTTGCCCGGCGTGGGCCGGAACCAGGCCGGCTTTCCCATGGACATGCACACGGATCAGCTGCTCCAAACCAGATTCGAATATTTGAATATCGAGGTAATCCTCGAACGGGGCTCCAAGAAATATCCCTCAACGGAGGTCCGGAGATTCCATTTTTCTTCCTCCCGCAGTAGGTGTTTGCAGAGGAGAGGAGCATCTCATGGTCCAGACAGGACATAAAGATATCAGACTGCATCAACCATATACGCAGCCGTAAAACGAGGAGAACGTCGAGCTAGCGCGCGTACTCCCCGGTGAGAAAATGCACATCTCCGCAACGTAGCCGTTCAAACGGGAGTTGGCCAGGCGTGGATCGCGATGGCCGACAGACTATGCAGGTACCGAACTCGATTCACCGAGTCTGGAGACCGGGTCCATGCGCGAGAAGCCCCCGCGTCGACATCCGGGACATTGAAGTTTAGCTTTGTGGTTCAGCCCGGAGAGAGTAATATGGAATGGATCCGTATCAGTACGGTTCCGTCCGTGGCAACGCGGAGAGCTTTTGAGGTCGCGGGTCAGACCCCACTAACTTCAGCCACGGAGCCCGCCGCGTGTGAGCAATTGCCGAGGGGGTCCCTTGACCCCATATCCGAAATGCAGAGCCATCGTGAAACTGAGGCAACCGCTACCTCGTGGAACCGAAATCGTACACCTACGAGCAGAGGTCTCTCTCGAGCGAATTCACCACGATCGCGATCCCAGCTGCCAGATGTGCATCGCGCTGCCTCCTTTTTTCTTTGAGAAGATTACCGTTGCGGAAACGCGGTTTGAGCGGAAGCCTCGCAACGACCCTGCGGTACTGCGATCGACTTCCCTGAGGAAAATGATCCGGCGAGACCAAGTCTTCGTTGCGGCGAGATTTGACCCTTCTCCCCCACCCGAGTTTAAATAGCGACTTCGGGAAGCTGGAGGGAAACTCGAGCGGTTCAACAGCAGTCTCCGCGAACTCCTCTCTGACACAATAAGGAATTTTCCACGGCCTCAGCTTCGTATCAGAGTAGCCCAAATTAAAAAGAATTACGCGATCCCCGGCGAAGGAGGCCGGAAGAACTTCGTAGCTACAGGATCCCGCCTTGTCAGTCGACTCCTGTCAGCTCAGTTATACAAAAGGGACACTTTACACTCTCGATTGGATGGATCCGGGGTCCGAAGCTAATCCCGATGATTGATCCTCGGAAGCATCGCAAAAGCGCCTCGAAGACTGTCACAGGTCACAGGGAGCTCAGTCGGAAATCTTCATGGGTTCGTCGTATGATGAGATTTCAGCTCGCACGACGACGATCGCCCCTACGAAAGAGCTCTTACTTAGTCGCAAACCGGTGAGTACCCGAAACTTTTGCCGAAATTACAGAGTTGCTCAGAGAATCTTTGCAGCTTGTTCACAAAGTCCGCACTGCGATTCAAGAAGTCACGCGGCGCCCAGGCTATACATAGTTCTAGCAGTGAGTACGTGCCCCTGTACTTGGTCGCGGAAAGAATCAAATGTCCCACAAAGGGAATTGCTGAGAAACAGCGACATTTCTACCGTGGACTAAGGATGTTCGCGCACTTCAAGACGCAAGTTTTCCACTACGCGATTTCGTTCGCGCTCGAAGTCGGCTGAACAATTTGAAAGTACGACTGACGATACAACACCCCGAGAAACTTCACAATCGACAGCAAGGAACGAAGCCTCCCACAATCACGCCGATTCAATATCCCTTGTGTGCGGTTGACAGATTCTGTTTATGATGCTTTTAGACTGCCGAGGCGGGATGTTTGTTCTAGCTTATAAGTTTTCCTGACCGATTGTCTTCCTCTTCGCCATTAAGATTTTTTTTTCAGATCATGAGGGGCGGGAAACTTCGACTGGCCAGAAGTTATCACCCGCCCTCTCTCAGGGAGACCGTCCCCTTACGTGGGTTGGAACTCGACAAGAGTCTCCCCCGTGGGGAGCCTTTGCCGAGATATCCGCTCAGGATGTTCCATGGCTTTCTGTCAGTTGGGCAAGACTCTCACCGTCCGACCTAGCTGAGCAAAGAGTGATCCGGCTTGCTTTATCGCCGGAAAACCGCGTGAACCGATCCTGTCATCACATAGGTCGGTTGTATGGAGTGCTCGTCGTTCGATGAAAGACCGGCCGCCGCGAATGTGGGATGACACCGGATCTCTCGTTCAAGGACAATCCTCGGTAGTCGCTGAGCGAGCCCGGTATCGGAGGCCCCTGTTGTTTTGTGATCGCGCACCACCTGCGACCGTACTCGCCCGCATCGATCGAGTCGCGTTTGGCGAGGTTTTCGGAAAGTTTCCGTGATTGGACAGACACGCAAGTTTTTCGGAAAATAGAAGACGCATCGCCGACAGCGAGACCCGCAGAGATATCGACGAATAGCCTCGGCTGATCTCGACTTCCTCGATGGAATCATCCGGAGCACATTTCCGGTTCGTAGAAACGAGCCTCATGAGTTGGGCACTACTCGTTTCGATCCGATGCTCGTCCCGAATGAAATAATGGCACAACAGCAGCTCATCGCGGATAACTCTAAGCTTCTTGATTCTATTTCCTCCTGGCATTCGAAGCGGGAAGTAACGGTTCGAGAGCTGCGGGAGGAGCCACCAAACGACCGCGGGGAGTCACGGTCTCTGACTTTGGAAAGCCACTTCCTGATGCTCGGTAATCCCATCCAAGGTCTGACAAACTTCTTGATCCACCGAGTAGCAGCAGAGTATCCTCTCTGGTATTCCGACCGCGCGACAGAAAGAGCAATATTTGTACGCTAATACACATAGGCGAAGAAGCTGCGACGCTCTCTCCGCCATCGGCTTCCGACTCAAAGAAGATGGAAGCTGTGAAGGCATTGTTCCGTCGGAGATTTTTTTCGCCTAAATCAAGCCGCGCGAGAAGCCCCGCTGAATGCATTATTTGTCCCGTTCGCTGGTCCGTTCGCGGGCGGACCGCAGTCCGGCGCTCGTTTGGCTCGCCTTCGATATCATCGAAGGCGTTCCCTCACAGAAATACACGAGATGTCCCCTGCGTATCTGGACTCTAGCGTGACAGGACGGGAAGAATAGCGGCGATCACGATTTCGGGATCTCACCACCGCACCAGGTTTCTTCCGTTAAACCAGAGGGGCATTTGATCTGCCGTGTCCGCTAGACGGAAGAGACGGAACTGCACGTAATTTTTATCCATCATCATATCTCGGTAAATAAAGGAAAAACTAAATTTTCCTCGACGCAGCACCGCGTGCACCACCTAGCCGCAAAGGACAGATCTCACCCCGTTGTCCTGGTAACTGGGCGAAAGTCGCACTGCAGTCGATCTCGATTCTCCCACGACACCCTTCTGCGGGGACCGTATTCCCTTCAAACCCGCCATCCGCGAACCCACCTAATCTCTGAGCGGGAGCTGTCACCGGTCACGCCAGCCGAAAGTGTCTCATCGTACCTTGCACGTTGAAAGAGGATGAGTCGAAACAGTCAGGAAAGGTCGCTTTATATCCTTTGGTTCCAGAAATTCACATTTTGGATGAAGGTAAATTGAGGTGAACGAGGAGTTGGATTAGAGTCCGGAGAGTGACCGGGCACCGACACCATTCGATTACTCGACCGACGGGCTCTGGGTTATTTTTTGGTTTGTGCGAGCTCCTTGAAGCCATCGGCCTCTCCTTCGCCCTCGCCCTCGCCGAAAAGGAGAGTGCACTCCTTCCCCAGTCGTTCCCGCATGAGCCTTTGGAGCCCCGCAGTCTGACGAGCCCGGACACATCCTGAATACCGCAAAGAGCGTTCTGACGAACAATGATTGGATTCTAGTGAAAGTCTTTCCGATTCTGGTGATCCAACGCTTAGCCCCAATCGCACCGTCGGATATCCGGGCCCCCATTGTCGGAAATGATGGCAGGGAGCTAATATCCAGCGGAACTCCGCCGCTGCAAGTCGAAGACTTGTCCAAAATGCTCCTGCACCAGCTCGAGGCAGGGTGCTTCCCTGTCAATTATCCTCCGGGAAAATCGTTCCACCCAAATCGTCCAATGATCCGGCTGAGCAGAATCCCCCGCTCGACTCCATGTATTCTCTCACATACATCCCGCTTTTATTACTCCTTCGAGACTCGCTAACTTTCGTCGAGCACCTTCTTCCTTCGCAGAAAACACTCTCGAGCGGGCTTGGCGGGCTCGTGGATTAAGTCTCCGGCAGTTAAGCGAAACATATTTTCTTGAATCCAGCAAGGAACAATCCCCTAGACCTTGAATTGCGGTGTCTCTAATTCATTAGTCTTCACTCACTTACTTCCACTCGAGAATTCGAGCTCGGAAATCTCAGTTCGAGAAGGAACTCTTTCTTGGTGCAAGTCGAAATAATTCTCCGGCAGGAATATGCCGCGAACCCAGAATTTGCTTCATTGTTCTACCACATTATAAAAGAAACTAATGAAGCGTTCGACATGGAGCGTTTCCAAGGTCGTTCTCGTTCAACAATCGTGCCAGCGAGACGGACATCTTTTTGCTAGAGAGCTCGTTCCGTTCCGCGCTGACGCGTTCGTTTTTCCTTCACTTGCTCCACATCGCTCCGAGCGAAAGACAATCCGGAAACGAGAATCATCAGCGACGCATTCGCTGAGCTCCGGCCGTGAGTGAATTTTTTTTTTCGCACGACGTGATGACACCCTCGTTTGCAACGAAGACCACCCAGAGGAACATCGCCGACAATGCACAACGTTATTCAGGAACGAGGCTAGAGAGGAGTTCACTCTGTTGAGCTAATTCTTGATTGCGTCGCCGGCCACGGGAGCTCTACAAGTTCCACTTGCGCCGGACCCGGAACGAAGGCTCACTCAGAGTGACACTTGGAAATGAATCGATTTTGTGCGAGTGGGCCACAGCAGACTGTTCTCGACAGTTGTTTCTTGCAACGACGACGATCGAATGCTGCTCGCAGCTCTTCGCGAAACGAGGATCTCGCAATCCGAGGGCTCATTCCTTGATTACTGTAGTTCAGCGCGACTAGGCGCCTAGTGGTGTGGGCCTGCTTGGTGATGTTGCTCTCGACACACGGAGTTGTCGGCACAAACGCCATCATCGACGACTATCTATCCATCGATACATTGGACTTTTATGGAGAACGAGCCTGACCGTTCTGCATCGACGAGCCAGTTCCGCACCATTGGAAGTAAAAAACGCAGATTGAGTACGGCGGAGGAAGAAGAACATTCAAAGAATTTCCTTCATCCGAGGAGATACCGTGCCCGCACGGGGCGGATAAGCGCTGTATACTTCGCTGGGTGCTCGAGAGACGATCGTCCACACAGAGCCACTGGCAGCAAGTTTATATCCGTATGCTGTGCGTGTACCGTGAGTCTCAGTCAATCAGAGCTGTCGATTCACTGCATCAGGAGAATTACTGGTCGTGTCCCTTTGGAAATCGGCGGTGTCGCCCCGACTTTCACCGAGTCGCTGAACGTCTCCACTGGGTTGGGTATATACATATGTACGTCGTCGTCGTCGTTGGCCTCGTCGTGCTCGTCTGTTCGTTAGCCCTGGAGCCCCAACTTGTCGACCGACGTTTGCTTCAGCACTTCTGGATTTATTTCCTGCGAGATTGTTGTCGGAGGATGTTGCCGGGCACTCTGGATCCGTGTTGACCCTGGCGTATTCTCATCGCGTAGCTCAAAGCTGCTCGAACGTGGCGCGAACTTGTAATTTCCATGTTGTCCTATTCGCGAGAGTCGCAGTAAACAGCTCGCAGCCGAGGGGGAATCTTCGTTCGAGACGTCAACATTCTCGTCCTCGTCAACATTCGTGTTCAATATCGAATCATATCTCGGTTTCGAATCGAAATTGTGAAGTCTGCGGAGGAATGCCGTAGTGGAAAAGCCGACCCGGCGGTTGCGCGTTTGCCGCAAATCCCAGATCCGGCGCATGCCATTGTTCGATTGAATCGTGATCCGGCAAGATATTCAGGGCGATGAATCGCTGTCATCCGGACACGCTGCTGGGTCAATGGTTCGCTCACTGTTCATAAGCACAGGACTCTATGTACGATCGTCACGTCTCGCGTGCTTCGCAGTTATCACTGTCGTAACGGTTGCGTAGAAGAAGAACTCGGGACGTACATACATAATGCGTGTTCCCGAGCGGGCCCAGAGGGGGATGACTAATCTCCGAACACATCGCTGAGACTTCCCTCGATTTCGTGATTGTGAAGGAATTTTCTCCTTAAACCAGCGCGGTTCGATGTGTTTGTTGTTGCTTCTTTCGACGAAGACCTTTCGCCATTTCTTTTCCGAATAGCACAATGCGAACCAAGAGCTGATGGAAAACAAAATCCTTGTGGGAAGGGATAATGGGACGAAATTGTGCACGAATGGCGAACATGAAGCCACAGCGATGAGAACATCGAGCGCTGCTCAGGCGGGAGTTGAAATCAGGCATTCACTTCCTCCCCCGGACGTCTTGCGCGTCGACCTGAAGATTGTTATGGAAGGAGGAGTCGTCGGCTTCTGAGCTGCAGGCCGGCACGTGTCGCGCTAAACCCCCATCCGATTTCCGAGGTTCGGCTGCAGTCTCTCCGAGCACAGTCGATGTTGACGGGAATCCACTCGCTTCAAGGGTAAGCTCATGACCTTTCCGGAAATTCCATCATTTCCCAGTTTCCCACGGTGAGTTTTCATCTCTTGCCAGGAGACGAGGAGGCAGCCACGGTTGCTGCTGCTGCTGCAGCCGTTAGTCAGCCACCGCTCCATGAAGCAACCAATGCAGCAGACTGCATTACGAAAACCGAGCTAACGACGGCTCCGAGAAATGCCTGTGGTGCGTGGCGGCTTGACGGCGTTTCGAGCAGACCATAAGAGCTTGGCTCTTTGGTTCCTCTGTCGAGTCTCGCTTTTCAAGAATCGGAATATGTGAGTCACAAGCGCGCGCGTTCTCGTTAGCTTCAATTTTGCATCATTTATCACTCAGTCACTCCCTCCGTTTTTATGTATTGGGTCTCCGACTCTCCGCATGGGAACGAAAGGGAAACTGAGAGGAAAACTTTCGATTACATCGGGGATATTGGTTCTTATGGCGGCGAAAACCTCCCGGCGAGGACCTTCGGGCGAACCATTCGAGAGCCTCCATTCTCGCAAGGGAATCCCGCACGAATTTTCCGCGTTCGTCCAGCTTTGAACTCCTGTAGTCGTTTTTACCTTCACTTCGGAGTCTCCCAGCTCATTTCGGAACGAACCACCCACGCTTTAGACATGTACGTAGATAATTTCTCGAACTAGACAGGAGGTCGTTCCACAAACAGGGATCACTGAAGTTCGCTCCCACGAACGCTGTAAGCTGCCGATCGCGTCCCGCCGCTCGAGCTGTTCGGGAAGAGACGTGACCCGGCAAGCTGCGCGACGCGGGATTCCGGCCTTCTGCATCCTGCTGCAACGTTCCGGCAGAACGCGCTCTTGCAGGAACCACTCTCCGACCCAATCGCGAACACGTCATAGAATCTACGCGTGCCATCAACACTCGTTGAACGTCGGGAGCCGCATGCAGAGTAGGTCGCTAGCTGCAAGGACCGACCGGAGGACTGTCTCTGACAAGCGACGAGAGCGCCGGCATCTTTGTCAAGACGAGGATTATTTTTTTCATGGAGAGAAAAAAAAGCAAAACAGAATCAAATTCTCAATCACGAGACAGGAGAGGGCGCGATTCCGCACCGATTCGATTGCTCCAATTTTCCGATCCGCGATCCGAACGAACGCCTGAACGTCAAGACACTCGGTGCATGATTCCCCCATCGCGAGGTCGGCCAGCATCTCCCGGTGCGATCAGAAATGAGAGTGTTCCCATCTGCGATCGCCAAACGCATCGGGTTGGGAAAGGATGCTCGTTCCGCGTCGGAGAATGTTCCTCGCTCCCGGGGACGCTCGCCGAAAGGGAGATTATAATTGAATTTGCATCCACCGCCTCGCGTTCACGCCGAGTCCCGCGTTGTTAGTTTGGCCGAGCTGTCCGGCGGCGGAAGTTAGCCGCTGGAGCGGTCTGCTCTAATCTGACAACGAGATCGTTCGCGGCATGCCATCACCGGCTTGAAGTGTCTCGTCCGCCCCATACTTGCTCATGGACAGAGGGGATCCGTCGAGGGAAATATACGTTCAGTGCACTGGTCTCGACACGAACGAGCACGACCGTGCTGCTGAGCAACGTTTCGCGCCTCCCATTTTCATGCAATGAATATTTCAGCGCTTTGGGAAGCGACAGAGTTGCTCTCCCGGAGCCCCGAGGTGAATATTGGCAGCCACGAACTATGACGAAACATGAGGACATCTAACAAGGCGTCTCGTGGAAACGTGCTGAGGAGGAGTGCATGCGTGCTCCGGAAAGACGATAACGCGGGGAGCTGTGGCTCAACGTCCGACGCATTAGCCGTCAACTAAAATGGTCAGACAACTTTTTTCTTGCTCGCTCGCAGCTTGCCCCGACATCCTGGAACCGCCCACGGTCTCCTTTTACATTCACTTTTAGCGACCGCGAGCTGCTAAGCCGACGGACGGACGGAGAGCAACTCTCACCTTCAGTCTGCCGGCCGCTGGTTGGAAAACCCTATTAATGGAAACGGCTGCCACAACTCAGTCTTCGCTT